CTGCCACCGTAGAACTGTAGTACGACTTTTGGGTTTTTTTTTTTTTTGCGTAAGACAACCAATAATAGAGAATTCAGCAAGTGGTATGCTTTGCCCTCTGCAGGGGGCTAGCCACAGCCTCTCATGGAGCAGGAAGGTAAAAACAGAGTTTCTTTACTGTGAGTTTGTAAGGACAATATTATTTACTGTCTCCATAATGCTGCTTTGGCAGTATTTTGATTAAAGCAGCTAAATAAATAGATAAAGATGAACTCCAAAATATTTTTTCTCTTCAGATAATAAATATGTGAATTTATCCATAAAGATATGCTTACAAAAATTTTAATATTTATTTTCCTAGCTATTTTATGGATCCAGCTCTTTTAGGAAATATTCCACATCTGCATAATATACCTGTGTGCTAAGTTTCGTTTGTGGTTCTCTAAACTAGAAGAAATTGATGTGGGCAGACAGCTTCCTTTGGCTTTTTATTTTAAAATGTGCAACCACATAAGTTATTCCTTTCAAAGTCAATTGAAATTCGTGTTTACTAAATTAACTCCAGATCTTGTGTTTACATTAGTAGTCAAGAAATACTTCAAAATTATGCCAGATTTCACCCATTCCTACTCCTGTTTTGAACATCATCTGTTGCATCCTGAGTGTTGGGATCTGTGGCCTTGACATATGCCAAGGTAAATGTTGTGCCAATGCACACTTTCCCATTTTCTGTAGTAAACTGGGGAATTCAACCCTAAAAGCTGAATTTAGCTCATTGACTTTCTGGCCTCGGCTATTCTTCCTTTTGCATGTTAATAGCCAGAAGGCTTCTGTGACAGTTTAGCTGTGATACTGATCCAAAATCCATCAACTCCATGCAGACATTTGCTTTGGTATCAGTAACTTTGCCCATAACGATCTGTAGCTGTGCTGACAAGTTTTGTTATGTGTTGTAATGATTTTTGGACACTCACAACTTAATGAATGGCAACTGATATGATGAAGAGTGGGAATGGTTTTTGCTGGAGGTAGATTTTGTACTTCACTGGCATACAGTCTCTGTCACCTTCCAGCAAAGATGGTTGGTGCTTGGCAAAGAGAGTGCGCAGCAAATTTCAAGACACTGGGAACTAGCATTTTCTTCACTCTGTTTTACGGTTTGGTTTGTCTTTTGGATATTAGTTGTTGCTTGCTGATATTCTCTGCTGAAGCAGAAATCTGAAATACTCTGATACTGGAAGCAGAAGAGATCGATTCTTGTTTTGTTGTGGACATTTTTTTAGTCAAGTTGTATGGGCTCCTGGAAGAGCTGCTTCTCTGCCGGGTGGCCTTGTGAGACATCTGAGAGTGCCACTACTTTGTTGTAGAATGCACAAATGGAACACATTTCCAGGATAAAGTCAGCTTCACCTGTGAAAGGGAAAAAGAATCAACCCCCATCTGTGTAAGGTAGATACAGGTCCCCTCAGACTTAAAAGAATTAGGTCGCTTAAAGAAGACAACTTCAATTTCTTTTCCTGTAACTGGAATATGTTGATTTGCTAATTGCAGCATTTCCTTGTGGTAACAAACGCTAGGGTTTTCTCAGACACTTGTCTAGGTTTTTAAGAAAACTTCCTGGACGCTGATGTAACTGCTGTCTCCTACAGTAGTAACACCACTGCTCGTTGAAAAGGACAACAGAAGAGGACAGCAGTGCTGTGTTTGCTAGGGCTGCCGAAAGAGAGTCCTTTTCAGGCCGTAACAAAAAGAGTCACCCCTGCTTTCCAGAAGGAATTAACGATGTAGTTTCCAAACGTCTTTCACCTTGGCAAGTAGATGGACCAGTACGGTTTCTAGTACACCCAAGTAAACAAGCTTTTTTTCCCCCAAGTCTTTTTTCCTGATGATTTTTTCCTTTAAAACTTTTGAAACAAGCAGTGGGTTTTGGAGATTTCCCAAACCAATTCCAGAAAAAGATGATCAAAACTAGCTCACCAACAGCTGAGGATGTGGTTGTGTGCACCCAGCTCTGGCACTGGGCGTTGCTGTCTCATTGGAACACAGTAAGCCCAAATAGGTTCTTGGCAGACTATGTCGTTATTATAAATGGCCCTACGCCTTCTTAATCGTTTTGGTGCATTTAATTTTTTTTCCAGGACTCCTGTAATTGCTGCCATTTTAATACCATATGAAATTAATGCCTTTTAAAGAGGAAATTGCAATACTTTTTAAGGACATTTTCTTCACTAGACACCCCAAGCGTTGACTGTCTGCACAGGCTGATTTTGCTGGAGTGAAAACTTGGTCAGTGTTTTGCCAGCGTAGATAAAACCTGAGGTTTCCCGCTGAGAGCTAGATTGCAGTAAACCTTGCTGATTCAACAGTGTATGCACCTGCATCCAGCACTGCAATTTCATGGTCGCATGGCAACATTTCTGTTTCTCTGGTTTCGTTTTTGTCTTGCGGTAATTCTTTCATGCTGGAAGGCAATATTAAGTGATCAAACACTAAAAATGGTGAGGATAGTTGAAGCTACAGAATCAGTGGGAAGAGTTAAATTTCTGAGTTAGAGATGTTTGGAGCCAAGGGTTTGATTAACGCCCGTTTCTATCAACTACAGGGTAAAAAAGAATCCTAGGATATTGACCTAACCAAAAGGGAAAGAACGTGGCTGTCACCCGCCAATTTTGAGTTTTGCGATAGATAAAACTCAGAGAAAGCCTGCAGGTTTTATGTGTTTGAATGTACTCTTACTGCTTTTATCGCTACGTTAAGCTTAACAAGGAAGCCATATCCTGCCATGCCAGACGTAATATTCTGCCCTTAAATTGTCGCTGTTCAGCGCTTTGACTGGGGTTTTCTTTATATACACCTGCAGGCAGGCACATTGTCTCCTTTTCTCTTGATGCGGCTGGAGCTTGAAAAAAGTTCGATGCTTGGACTTCACATGCTTTGTGCACGCTTTTGGTGGAGTTTATCTGTTTGTTTATCTTTGTTTTAAAAAATAGCATTAAATCAACCCATCTTACCACCTCTGTGTTTTACTAATAGTTCTGGAGATAGCAATTCCAGTCAGCCTGCTAGGTGAAGTCTCTCAAATAGCAGTGTGGCTCTGGAATAGAATGAAACACCAAAAAACCCACAACATGGCTCTTAAAAATAGGTAGAATATTTGGCTCCACTCCTCGTTTTGTATAGGTCTTGGGGTATAAAAGGGGGAAGTAATCGAAGTCATCTTCTAATCCTTTTGCAAAATTGAATGTAACTGGAACTCCTTGAGAGAGAGAGATGAAAAGAATCTGTTCCTTTTGTTATTTTTCTGGTTTATGGATCTACTAGGTGGCCCTTTCTGGAACTCAGACTTTCTGGAACTAACACTCATTTGTGTTAGATCAGCACCTTGTGCTGCTAGTCACAGCACAGCTTTTTAGAACTAAGTATTATATAAAGGGTAGGCATTCAAAAGACTTCACACTGCGTTGATTTTTGTCCCTTTTGAAGGTTCTCCCTTCGCTTATTTTAACAAATCATCCCATTTGATTAGTTGTTTGAAAAAAAAAAAAAAAAGGAAGGAATTGATGAGCCCTTGGCAACCTGATGTTGAGTAACAACTAATAACACTTTCTTCTGAATGCCCTCTTCTGAAGAAACTTGGTGCTGAGTGAAAGTTAAGAACAAATCTTAATCTTAAGTTACAACTTTTCCTGAGTATCCTGAAGGAAGGCCCAACATGCCTGACGTCAAAATCTTTACATGCTTTTTAATTGTTGATTTTTGATTTTGATTGATGCTTTAACTTGGCCTGTTAAATCATGGCATTGCTGTAGAACTCTACTTTTGTCCCTGTAGCCTGAGGGTGATAGGAAGTTTTGGGAAATATCCATGAATGTTTATGGAATCTGCAAATACCTTCTAAGTGGAAACTTCAGTGGAAGACTTTGGCAGTGTGCACCCAGGGACACTGGGCTGTAGATAAAGGAGAGCAGCTTCTCTGTAAATAAAGGCGAGCTGCCTTGCTGCAGGTGTGCTTGGAATGAGCCCGAGACACAGAGATCGACTTGCTGGCTGTTGTCCTTAGGAAAAGTCACAGATGCATCTTTTTGTTGTCAGACGGGACTCCAGAAGGCGGAGCACATCCACAGGCTGTGCTGACTCGGCACTTGTACAACTAATGGATGGGAATCGTTAGTAAAGGATGGGAACTTTCTGAAACAGAGCAGGGGTTGAAAGGCTAGGAAGTTTACGTTTAAGCAGGAGGTAGCTTTTTTTGTTAGGAAGATTCTTCCTCCAGCTTCTCATTTCCAGCATTTTTGTGATTCATAATTCCTGTTTCAAGTTGCTGAGGAAGTTGTAGGAGGGCTTCAGAGTTGTTGGAGGGAAGTGGGTGGAGACCTGAGCTGTTCGGAGTTTAGGGTAGGTTCCTGGGAGAGGCAGACTTGAGGGGGAAGGCCTGCAAAAAAACTTGGGAGGAGCCTGTCCCTGCTCTGACAGATCCAAGGTCTCAGAGGGCTGTGCAAGGAGGGACAAACCTAGCTGGGCTCAATCCCAGGGCCAGAAATGTGGAAAGCATTGAGTGGCTGGGGCTGTGCTGCCCTTTCAGAAGAACATGGTTTTACCAAACTACCTTGCTGTTTTGGGGTTATGGCTGGGTATGACACCAGGTAGCCAAGCTTTTCCTGGAGTACTTTAAAACAAAAAAAAAAAAAATCAAACCGCCAAAAACGCAGTGTGAATGTGAACTGAATGCTGAAATATTTCCACCGCTTCTGCAATGGAAGACACATTGGAAATGTCCAGCCAGGATAGCTCTGACGTACTAACAGGTGGTTTTCTAAAGGGATGACTTTGTCAGTCATGCACTGTCTACCTTAAGGACAGTAGCTGGGGCCTTTGCTCTAGCGCATCACAGATTTGGAGCTGATATTTATCAAGCCACGAGACTGCCTGTAATTATTTATGTATTTTTGGGTAGTTGGTGTGCACTGCTGAGCAATTCACAGCAGTGACTGTGATGCTGACGTTCCACGTATAGAGCCAGGATGCGGTCTAGAAAAAGAAGAATGTTTGCACTTTCTGGAATGAAGGAAGAAGTGAATTTTGTGGGAGGGAGGGAAGGCCACAAGAGTATTGTTTGTAGTTGAAGCAGAACACATCTCTGTTACCAGATACAGGCCAGTGTACAAAAAAAAAAAAAAAAAAAAAAAAAAAAAAAAATTAAGAATAGTTCTAGTGTACATTCTAAGAATAAAATATTGGACTTCTTGTTGTTGTTGTACATCAATTAATGCAGAACATTATAATAAGGCTTATTTTATAGGGGAAAGGGAAGAGACAGACAAAACCATATGAAGTGATCAATAGTAACTTCATAGACCTCAGTGGACTGTGATGGCTATTTCAGAAATGGTGTTTTTCAAGGTTCATTGTACAGAACCACAGCTTTATGTATTTTCAGGAATATACCAGATCTTCCTTGTTCTGAGAAGACAATCTTTTTGTTAAACAAGGCATACTTTTCTCTTGTCTTAGGCCATACTAACATCATGTTTCAGATAGTTATTTCTTACTAGAAAGTCAAAGATTTAACACATTGTCTGCTTGATTATTTTAAAGACAGAAACCAAAATCTAGGTTTTAAATATAAAAAATACACTGTGATTAGGTGCTTGGTTTTAATTTTTGACAACATATCATTGTTTACTGTGGTGTTACTAGAATTATTTTGGGAAGGAGTGTTCTATACATTGACTTGCTGCTTTTCAGTCATGTATGATGCTGATATATTCAGTCAGTAATTCCCTGAGCCACCTGTTGGACGAAATATGCAATATGAGTATGGAAAAAGGTTAGGAACATGCATATATTTAAAGACAATGCTCAGATGGATAAATGTATTGGTATTCCTAGTATTCTCTTTTGTAAAAAGCTTCTTTTTTCTCCTTTTGTGTTTTAGATATTGATGAGTGTGAAAATGACTTCTACAATGGGGGTTGTGTCCATGAGTGTATCAACATTCCGGGCAACTACCGGTGTACATGCTATGATGGATTCATGTTAGCTCACGATGGCCACAACTGTCTTGGTAAGTAGTGAGTGCTGGCAAGATTTTGTGTCATGGCTGTGGTAAGGTGACCTGATCTGCTTGTTGTGTTTTCTCATTGGGTATGTTGTCAGTAAAGACTTGATCCAGATCACACTCAATAAGTTCAAACTGGTCTTTTGACTCCAGCGTGGTTTAGACCAGACCCTTAAAGCTGACACTCATAACCCTAACCCTAACTCAGTTTGCCCATCTTTAATACTGTTAAAAAAACCCTGACCTCCAAAGTCTGTGCTGGATGTTTGCATTTCTCTTTTTAAGAAAATTAATCTATCCCATCCACTTAAATGTCTGTTTCCTCCAACTTTTGTAATTCCAGTCATATCTTTAAAGAGCCTCCCCTCCCTCCTTTTAGGGTCACATAGTTCTAGGATATGCCGTATGAACATAAATTACAGAATGTTAGAAGTGAAGTGTGATGAAGGAATACTTGGACAACAAAACAGGTCAGAAGAGTTATCAGTAGTAGCTGTTTACAAGGGGAGGGACACAGTCCACTAACTGTACAAAGCCATGCTCAGAGCAGGTTCTTAATTGCTTCAACAGTCTGAGGATTTGGGGATCTGATTTTTTTTGATTGATGTCTATTGCTCTGGTTTAAATAGGTTGGGTTTATCCTGCGAGCGAAAAGAAAATGCTATATGTGTTTTGTTTTGAAATTTCTTCAAGCCAATTACCTGAAAATTTGATGTCTATTGCTCTGGTTTAAATAAGTTGGGTTTATCCTGCGAGCGAAAAAAAAATGCTATATGCGTTTTGTTTTGAAATTTCTTCACGCCAATTGAAAATGAACTTTGACTGCTATATCCAGTTTCCCATACCTGCTTACTTGGTCATTTTAACTGATCCTGGTGCCTAGGGACTATCTTTCTCAGTATTGCCCATATAAATGCAATGACCACTGTTTGGTACAGTCCCAAGTTCATTTCAAGGTGAAGTTTATAAAACAGTGTGGAAAAAAGGTATTTAATCTGTGTCATGCAGGCCCTTTTCTTTGGTTAAAAACTGAGATTCTTTGCAAAAAGAAGTTAGGAAATCAGGTAGTGAACCACAAATCATAAAGTCCAGTAACACTAATCTGCACTCACTGAAACTATGGAACAACGGCAGTTTCTGAGTAAGGATTTGGTTAGCCTTTCAGTAGATGTATTTCCTACTGGGTTCATTTTCAAAATGACTAATATTTGATCCGAGGGATTATATATCTTGACCATTGACAGGCTTTTGACTCGAACTTCCAAATTTCATTTGTTATAGAACTGACTATTTTTAAATTTATTTGCCTGAACCTGAGGTGGTCAAGTGATTAAATGTGCAAGAGCTATTTCTTGTACCAAGAGGAGCCAGCCATTCATTTAAACAAGAAAGAAAAACTCTATTTATACTAATATTTGTAAATAGCTCTTAATAAAACGGCTCACAAACATAACCAAATAGTTCAATTATTTGGAATTCAAATAACCGTGCACGTACGTTGTTTCAAACGGCTTGCTGTTTTCAGCTTTGTTTCCAAATGATTCCCACAGTAGTAGGGAAAAGTAGGTTGACAAGTAGGAACAGCAAAAGGAGTGACCTGAAAAAAGTTGCACCCTTCAGGAGATCTGTGGGATTTTATCAGACGACTGCTCTCTGGTCATGAACCATACAGGCTGGATCTGCAGAGAGCGCCAAATTTCTAGTTTTCTTTATTTTCTATTTATCCACTTGATTTGGGGAATAAAAGGCAGCCTACAACAGTGTAAACCACTGCGTTTAGGTAGGTGGCTGTGGCTGAAAGTAATGAGTCAAAGCTTGCCAACAGATTTTGCAAATTGTTTAGAATCAGTGTTTGCCCATATTCATATTCTACTCTCAGTTGACTTCTAGCGTTACCCCAAAAATGTTAGGAAATATGTTACTTCCAGAAGAGGTTCAGTGAACAAATGAGTGGGAATAATAGCAAAGGGCTACATTTCTCCCAGTATGCAACTTTTGGACACTAAAAATGTCACAATTGCCTTTCTAATTTTGAGACCCCAGACTGGGGAAGTTTCTGTTCCTCAAATGCTGATTGAATATTTGCAACTAATGAATGTTCTTTGATAAGTCTCAGCAAAATAGCTGTTTTTACTTAGAGGCACTGAAAAGAGGATCCAGGCACATTCGTCTTTCTCCCTTCTTTAAAATGAGGGTGACTTTTCTGAGGACAAAAGGGTCTGGTGGTTAAGGTCTCAGTCTGAAATCTTTAATCCTGACAGTGGCCATGCAAATCCTGCTATGATTGCCTGTTGTGCATTAACTCTGGTCGGAGACACTGTTGCTGGAAAAGAGAGAACTTCATTTTTCTGTCATCACTTGGTCCCTAGCTGGCTGCTGGCGTTATCAGTTATACTGACTGCTGAGGTAACCTCTTTGTGCCCATGAGCACAGTACTGGCTTGCAGAAGGTGGATAGTGGTTAGTCTTTTCCCTTCTGGAATAGCTGAATTTTCCTTCACTTACACTACCAGAAATGAGTAAATGCAGTTGGCTGTTTTTAAGAGGATGCAGTGAGGTCTCAAATCAAAAACAAACCTTGTATTTACACATGGATTAAATTAGGATTTCTATAAACTTTGGGAAAATTCTCCCAGCATGTGAAACTTGGTTAATTTATTCTAAAGAGCTATTTTGTCCCCCTGAGGAAATTAGGCATTGAAAGGAATTGGTCTTGATAAGTCCACTGTTTTTCACCTGTTTGCACTTTTTGAGAAACCACTTACTTTTCATGGATTATATGGAGACAAAGAAGTCTTCATAAGATTAGTGATAAAGTTTTTCACCTTTCAATGCGTTCTTTTACTCATTCCCTCTCCCCACCCCCTAACCTCTATAGGACTTTATCAAACTGTCAAAATGCAGATTGCTAGTTAGGGACCATATCATGTTCTGTGTATCAAGTTTATGTTCCTCTTAGTAAAGGCATGTAATGTTTAATTAAGTCTGTATGCACATTAAGCAGAACTGTAGCTGTTCTTGTATAGAATTATGTCATTTCCATATAATTTGTAGATAAGCCTATAAAATTCATGGTAGGTTGACTCTGAAAACCTTGCCTGAGCCATCTTCTCATACAGCACCATGGATGTATGGACAAAAGATTTGCTAAGAGTGGCCCAACATCAGACTACGCTATTCCTACCTCTCCCACATCCTTTGGCCTTCCAGGGCTCCATTTTGTCCGCATGTGGGGAACCAGGCAGCAGGAACTCTTAGAGGGCAATTCGGCTGCCTAAACATAGGAGCCTCATGCCCATGAGGACACCCTGGAGCTGGCAGATGTGATGTGAGATCTACAGGAGTAGAGCGGGAGCATAAGATGGAGGCTAGATGGGATAACATAAGGAATCTAAAATGGTATCTAACTCCGATGTTAAGACAGCTGAATTGCTCTCTCAGTGTCTTGGGCGGCATTTTATCACGCACCCATCACACAAACCTTTGTCTGGTGATTTTTAGATAGAAGGCCTAAGGTTGGAACCCCATGATAGTTCACTGATAGTCCTTTAGGCCATCTAGGAACATCTAGGAAACAGGTTGTAATGGACCAGACCGTTACATCAGGATTTCTGCATCACTTGCTTGACTGAAGTCTATGCAAAATCTTAAGCCATCTCTTCCTGTCAGGATTTACATTCCTTTTTAAACCTTCACTGGATATCTTTCTAGTAAAGTCAGTATAGCAAGATAATTGCAGTCGTCTTTATAAATAACAAACTCGGAGTATTCACAATTAATTAGGTCACACACAGTTGCCAGGTTAAGTGTTTTTTCCTGAGTTCTTATTTCAACATTTCTCTCTTTCTAATCAAGTGAAATTTCTTATTTATTTATTTGTTGGGAGGAGGTGTTTGGCTAAGAATTCATGGCTAAAATTTGTACTGGAAAATGTCCAAAACTGTCCTCAGGAGAAATCGGCTCGCTTTCTATTTGACATTTTTACTAAGGAATTTCTCAAACATAACATGAAATGACATCATAGGGAACTCAAACTATGATGAGATCCTTGTCTGGCTAAAAATACATTATTTAGCACTGTAATCTCTTGAAATAGCAGTAGTTTTTTCTCAAAATTCTGCTCAGTGGATGCAGGACTAATATTTGGTCTCATGCAATAGGTTTTCTTTATGCTTCATTTGAAACCAGTCGTGAAATACGTTTTCCCCTTTCGTGTATGAAATACCACTCTGGTTTTTTTGTAAGCAATTAGTTCACTGGTCCAGATGTTCTTTCCTGTTTGATCATTTTTTCTCCACAATCTTACTGATAAATTGATTTTTCCTTCTTTGTGTCCTTCACATGTTGAGGCACGCTGTCAATGTTCTTGCCTTTAGGAGAGATTATGGCATAATTGATGATCCTTTCCGCTAGTACCAAACCCATCTCATTTATAGCAAATCAGAGTCTGTTCTCGGATATTTGGTAAAATCTGTAAATCTACACTACAGAGTATCAACAGATAAGACTTACGCCTTTAAAACTGATTATTCAAAATATATTCCCTGCTCTGATTCTGCATGACACTTAAAGGTATTATTAATTTTTCCTATTTTTTTAACTTTCTTGGTTTAATATGAAGTAAGAAGAATGGGCTTTTGCCTATGTTTAAGTGCAGTATTGATACGAGGCCTCTTTGGCAGTTGGGTGTACTTGTACTCTGTCTTCGTGTCCTCTGGAAGGATTTTAAGGCAGCAGATAGCAGAGAAGGTGGACGTGGTGTAAGCTGGGTGTTGTAGATCTTTGGCAGTTGGGTGTACTTGTACTCTGTCTTCATGTCCTCTGGGAGGATTTTAAGGCAGCAGATGGCAGAGAAGGTGGACGTGGTGTTGTAAGCTGGGTGTTGTAGCAAGTGAGAAATGTGATGGGTGGGGTTGCCATAGAGAAGGCTTGAGAACTTGTCTTTCTTTTCAGTGAGAATTTCAGGGGAGCTTGGCATAGCTGCCACTATTGGGTGTACTTGTACTC